GCCTCTCTCTCCGATTCTTACCCATAAGCTTTCGACCTGCTCGTGGTTATTCTTCAGGGACAGCTCTTCACTCTGTAGTGTTTTCTTGATGTAAAGGGCAACACCCCCACCCCTCCTTCCTCGTCTGTCCCTTCTGAACAGCCTGTAGCCATCAAGAGCTACATTCCAGTCGTGGGATTCATCCCACCAAGTTTCTGTGATGGCAATCAGGTCGTAGCTTTCCAGCAGGACGATTGCTTCCAACTCCTCCTGTTTGTTTCCCATGCTGCGTGCGTTTGTATAGAGGCATTTCATCTGAGCTGTCAGCCTCTTTACCTTCATAGCAGAGCACCCCTTTTTTCCCTTGAGGTGTTTCATGGGTATTTTCTTGTTGGCACCTGATACCTCAGGCGCCTCCAGCTCACTTCCGCAAGACTTCCACATTGCTTTCTAATGTGCTTTCTAATTCCTGAATCAAGACTGGAAAACATTAATTTATTAACCCAAAAGCATTTTAAAAGGCAACTTCTGGAGGAAGCATGAGTAGAACCATTGCGAAGGAGCAGATAACTTCTCTTCTTGACATTATCACATAATTCAAGCTGCAGTTGTCACTCCTAATGAAGGTGGGGATGCTGATTTGAGCATATTGTTTGTACGATGTGCAAGAGCTTTGGGAGATAGAGTCCCGGTTGCTATCATTTATAATTAAAGTGTCCATCACTTTTCTCTGAAAAACTACTTGGCGAATAAATAATTAAAGGCCTGATTCTGATACACTTAGTTGAAATGAGAGACACACGCTACTGAGAACACTTCTAATGCAGTAAATGGATTTTATTCAAAGTAAGGTTTCAAGATAAATAATAGTATTAGAATCTCAGTCAAAGCAAGTTCATGTTTGTGAAGGCAGGAGGATATTCTGGGCTGTGTGCTTTAAAATCTAATTCTACAGACATCTAAGATTGTTCACTTGCAAACAATGCCTGACATTGTCCATCATGCCTACATGTGTTATCTTTGAAGCACAGTAGAAACTAGTCTAAAAATTAATGGCTAGATAAGCGTTCCCTGCTTATTCAAACAGCCAAAGTTAAACAAGCTGTTCATCTGATGGCTTGTACAGTACAGAAGCTTTACAAAGCTTTGTGTTACCTAATGAGTTTATTTTATACAAATTTGTCTATTTTATAGAGGATTTTTCTGTCATTGTTTCACTGAAGTGATATTTAAAAGAAGGGTTATGCTTAAGTGATGTTTCTTTTCATAGTTTCGAAAATGATTGAAAAGGGTTGAGGGGTATTTTTTGAAATACAAATGATTTCACGTGTTTCTATTGTGTTTCAGTAATAACCTTGCTTCCATAATAGCTGAAATAACGGTAAATATTCAAGTTCCTTGCAGCGTTGGCAGGGAGAATTTCAGTTGATTTTGCTACCTTGAAATTAACCTTTTACTATCGCATGCGTATGTTTGTCATTTATCCCCTTTTTCTCAGGTGCAAAGAGGGCTACCAAGGAGTCCGCTGTGACCAATTTTTGCCGAAAACCGACTCAATCTTGTCAGATCCAAGTATGTCAAATGTTTTTCTTATATTTTTAATCTATGCTGGAGGGTATTCTTGCCATGCGAGATGATCCTTTGGCTGTTGCCCGAAAGCATACTGTGGACCACTGCGGTTGTGTGCGGAGAACGGTGTTGCTTCTGTTGTTAGGATAAAAACACATCCTCCAGGCTCTGTTCCTATAAACCATTTTCTGCTGCAGCAGCGCAGGCCATCAGAGTATGATGATTCCTTATGATTTGGAATAATACGGTCCCTGCTGAAAGCCAAAATGTTCAAGTGTCTCTGCTTTTGACCCAAAAACAAATCAAATTACATATCGTAAAAGGAAACCATGTATAGGCTACAAAGTGGTTCCTTCGAAAGAAAATAAATTCATCTTGTCTGGAACTGCAGAGATGATAATCTCCTTGGAAATGTGTGATGTCACTTTGCACAAAACTCAGATTTTTTTCACTTTTACATGTGAAGTTGCTCTGTATTTGCAGAGTAAAGGCGTACTTTCAGGTAGTAAAGTGGAGACAGAGCAACTTTCTGTTACACTGCTTAGTATATGCCAGAACACCGTTCTCCTATTCTGCTGTTGCCCTTTTTAAATTCTGTTGACTCACAAAACTAGGTCAAAAATATTAGCCAAGATGAATTTCTGGAAGTGAATCCATTTACTAATTAATGTTGATCATCCTAAAATTTTAAATGAGCTGGTATACAGCAAAGGGTCAGATCCAATCTCTTGTTTTTGTTCTTATACCTGAAAACTGGAATGTATGAAGTCTTCTGGTTTTGGGTGCTCTTTAAAATTTGTTTTCGTTTTTTTTGTGTTTCTTGAAGAATAATGCTTGTTATTCTAGTCTCTTTTTGTGTGCTTTCTGTTGATTTTCTTGTGCTTTTCCATGTGAAAGCCTGTTGCAAAAGACACATGTTGTTTTGTAGTTGTGTATGTTCTATAGCTCCCATTACAATTTGCTTTGTATTTGCTTTAGCTTTTCCTTTTGCTTGACCTTTAACGGTGAAGTGCAGAGCCTGGAATGGATAGGCAGATTTTACCTCTGGCGAGTTGTACATGCACATGTCAACATTAAAGTTGTGTATATGTGAATAAAAAGGTGCTTTGCCTCCTTAAAGTGAGAGAAAGGAAAAATCATTTAACAATAGGACAGGGCGGTACCTGTCTGATTTGGCTTTAACCGGGGCTCTAGCTTTACTCTTTAAAGAGCAGAGGTGAAATACATATAGGGACAATACAAAGTTCCAGGAGAGACTCCCAGATTAAGCTGCATCTAACAAGACCAAAAACCCTATGGTGTTTATATACTGCAGACAGTTTTGTTGTGGTTTCTCTGCAGCATTGTGTTGGTTGCAGAGACTTGTTTCTCTTTGCTTGGGAGATGCTTACTAACCCTGGCTGGCTTCTGACTGCATTGTTTCCGTAAAATTATTCAACCACCTCATCCTGCTCAGTAAGCTAAGGTTCTGCTGAAATTTCCTTTTTACATCTTTTGATTACAAATGCAATTTTATTGTGGCTTGCTTTCAAAATTTTATTGTTTAGAGTATGTAAGAGCAGGGGACCTTGGCTTGATGTTGATGTAAATCCGCTGGACATACCTATGGCCCAAGAAGGGCCCCTCTTCCAGTATAAATAGAGAAGGTTAACGTGAGTTAGGTACTTTCCCAATCAGTTTTGAAATTTAAGTAGTATTTAACCCTCATCTGTATTCAGAAGAGGAAAAGCTTCTGTTGAGCTGCGTTTCTGTGTGTTGGCATAGTGTGATATATCTCTGCGTGTGTACATGCATATGCACTTGTTCTAAGCATGCCTCACCTGAAAGGGAGATATTAGAAACTTTCTGCTGCAACTGGACAACATGAACATTTTGCTCAGGAATTAAATCAGTAGTCTATTTACTTTCCCCTGGAGAGGCAAAAATGAATATTGCGCTGATAATTAGCACTCGCTAGAAATGCTTGCTATTTGTGTAACCTGAGGTGTGTAAAAAGTATTTGATGTGGTAGTCAAACGCAATATGATCATCTCCAAAGGCTCTGGTGTTGCTTTGTGAAAACTTCGTTTTGTGGTCGAATATGTGTTTGGATTAGGAAGAGAACTGCTGAAGGACACTAAAGGGTAAATTTGGAGGTGGCTTCAGAAAGAAGCGGTTTTTTAAAATGTAAGGCTTAATTTCCAGAATTTGAACAGTGAGAGGAGTGTTTTTGTGTCTGGACTGCACGTAGCCAACGCTGACTGGTGTCAGTCAAGCTTTATAAAGAAGTCCAGCTCATTCGAGTTTTGTGAGATTGCTTAGGGTTCTTAGTAGTAAATGGCTATGGATCTGCTACTGATGCATCTGATAATAGTATTTAGCTTATTTGAAGTTTGCATACATGAAATGCTAAAGCAATATATTTTTAATCTTACCTTGCCTGTGATAGTGCAGGTTACATTTTCAGAACGCTCGTCTTTAAATGGGAAGTGAATCTGGACCACAGTCACTTGGAAAATAGCAACAATATTGTTTAAAATTGTTAGTTATTTACATGTGCAACAGGTGGGGTTTGGTTTTTTGTTTTTTCAAATAACCTTCTAAACCAAACCAAGCTTGTTCAGCATGGCTATTATCTGAGGTTGCGCAGTGACAAATAATGTAATATGGCTCTGCAATATTTTTAACAGTAGTAGGCCAAAGCCAGCTTCTTACCTCATTTGAGGTGTATGCTAGGCAGGTCTTGACTTTACATCACAGATATTAATACAAATTATGTAATACTTAATACAGATTAATTCATGCTAAACCATGTACATGTAGTTTAATTAAACTGAGTGGTAAAGATATTTAAGATTCTGGTTTTGGGAAGCCTCTTGAAACCACCTGCTGGAGTTTTAGAGTTCCTGGATTGGCATCCATGGCTTCTTGCAGTCAGATCTGCCACCTTCTACCTTCCTTCAGCTTGAAGTTAGGATCAAATTCATAAGACAGCAGATGTAAGACACATAGCAATGTCAAAACACCCCAAACTCAGGCCCTTCTACTTGACCTTCAAGCATCACAGATATTAACAGCTTCCACTTCCCTTAGTTTCTCCACTCTTAACCAGGTTTTCTGGATATAAGTGAAAGATGCTTAAAAAAAAATAGCCAAGAAAAAGCCCCAACCCAAATGCAAGTAGTTTGAGAAGTTTATTAATCTGAGAATATGGGAGAAACCTTCCTAAACCATGGGAGCCACAAGGAACCTGACAAAATTAATAACATCCTCAATAAGGGAAGAGGCTGCACGCTGCAGATGATGTAACCCATGCTCACAGTCCCTATCAAGAGGAGGGAATCTGTCAGCTCTGCTAATACTGTGCAGGACAAGTCCTTGAACTCTGTCTTAGTCATCGTCGTCTTCATCGATGGAGGAAGTAGTAATGGGACGATGAGAAAAGAAATAACAGTCACGTGCTGGAAGGAAAGGATAGGAATATATTTGAAACATTGCTTTAGTTTTCTCCATCTGGGCTAATTTCTCTATAAATACAGTTCATGGCAATGGTAAAGCACTTAGATTTTCAACATTATAAATACAACTTTAATATAAATTTATGTACAAGTAATTTTTCAGGTATGTGTAGTGCTGTGTGTATCTATAGGATTGGGAACTTGTATATAACAGAAATTGTACAAATGTACTCATGTACTATCCTTTATAGTGTTCTGGAGTAGACCTGCTTGGCCCAGCGAGTCTTAAAAGGTAAGTTGTATGTAGGCCGTGGATATTTCTGTTGATCAATTTTTATACTGAGGCAAAATATATCCATTAAAACTTCAACTGTTGTGAGCAGATATTGCAAAATGCCATTAAGAATGAGTTTGTCACATCACCCTTTTTTTGCCAAATTATGTTGCACTCCACCTTCAACTACTTTGTTCTTAACTTAGCATTGAAAGCTACTTTCTTATGTGGAAAGTGTGTTTCAGTTTTATGATGTTTTATGATATTTGTCATATTAACATTCAAGTTGTCCCATTTGACCTCAGAATCTTAGAATCATAGAATGGTTTGGGTTGGAAGGGACCTTAAAGATCATCTGGTTCCAACCCCCCTGCCATGGGCACGGACACCTTCCACTGGACCAGGTTGCTCAAAACCCCATCACACTTTTAAAGCAAATTATGATAATACGCAGTACTGACATCGCATTTTTCATCCCTGAAACAATCCATGAATAAGAAAAGTAGGGATTATTAGTCCTGTGTCACTGATGAGAAAGCTGAAATAAAAAGGGAATTAGAGCCTGAATTTTAAGCTGGACATTCTGATTTCAGTCTTGTAAGTGCTGAGAACATTAAGCTTCTCATCTTAATGCCAAAATTTTCTTCTCCTCGTAGTAGTAACATATATGCTGTGGGTTTACATTAGCTTCTATTTAATTCTTGTTCGCTTAATCTCATTTCAATTAAGAGTTGAGATGAAAGAAAAACAGCATTAATTAAAACTGTTAGCTCTTACCTCAATAATTTATTTTTCAATCAACAAACATTAAAGCAGTGATTTAGGAGTGATTATACTGATTTTAAAAGTTCAGAAGCTCAACGGGACAACAGCAGGACCTTGCACTTGGCCTTGTTGAACTTCATGAGGTTCACACAGGCCCACCTCTCCAGCCTGTCAAGGTCCCTCTGAATGGCATCCCTTCCCTCCAGCGTGTCAACCACACCACACAGCTTGGTATCATCGGCAAACTTGCTGAGGGTGCACTCAGTCCCACTTCAGTGGGATTTAAGTCACTTAAAAAGCTTAAGTGAAGAAGGGTTTCTTATCAAATATTGGGAATGTTATCTGATCCTTTTTCAAAATACCAACATTATTTTCTAAAAGAAGAAAAATAGGATGGAAAGCTTATAGGTTATTAGGCCCTGCTCCTGCTGTTGCTGTCATCCCCATCATGTATTTCCTTCCATAAGCTGATCATATTTCATTTGTAAACCACGTACAATCAGTGTGAACTAGCCACTAGAAACAGG